TGACCCTGAAAGAAAAAGTCTTTACATCAATCTTCTAAATGACTTAGCAAATACTTATTGTGAAGTACTGAGGAGTTCTCTGATCCGGTTCCACCACAAAACTGCGGACGACAAAATCACGGTCGACGAAAGCGCGCATTTGACGTCATCACAGCGCGACGAAAACATCGCACTGTGATTGAAAAATGTAAAAATAAAGCGAAAACCTTACCCTAACCCCCCCAAACCTAACNAAGTCTATATCACATGGGAAAAAATACTTCATATTGTTTTTGGCATCTGAATTGACCAAATGAAATGTAATGGCAGTAAGGGTCTTCTATGAATCATGGAGCTTCTGGTTTAACATTTATTTCAACCTGAATCATGAATTTAGCACAGGGCTTTAGTAACCCTAACTCCAGCCTTACAAAATGCTTCCCAGTGAATTTCCCATTGGATTCAGAGGTTCTTAAAATCCTTGGACGTGCAGATTTTATATTTCAGTGGCCTATCCTCCTTCTGCCTTTGAAATCAGGACTTTGTTCAAATTGCTATTCGAATATAAACAGGCCTTTCAAGCGATTAAGACCGGATTACTTGACATTGAACAACAGAATGAATTTAATTTAATGTCATAACAGTGTACACGTAGGATACCTTAGACAGGAACCAAGCAAATATTGAACCAACCTTATTGTTCTGAGTCTCCTTTCATCAGGGATGATACTTGGAACCCTGGCACAGACATTGTCATAATAGACAAGGACTACAAGAGAGGAGCAGTAATAGATGCAATGGTGATAGCAACATGAGGAAGGAGGAGTATGAGAGGCTGGAGAAATACCAGGATTTGGTACTAGGATCATGTAGAAAGTAAAGGCCAAAATGGTTCCAGTGTGGTGAATGTAATCTGGATTCCCAGAAGGAAGGAGCTGCATTCCAAAGAGACTGCAAGTTGAAAAGTTTGGTTTATTTAAATAGTATGCACACATGCCATAGACCCTTTGTGACACAGATGACAGAAATGTTTTGCAATATTTCCATTCTACTATTCCCCAAAGCCTTCGTTGATCATTATAACTGAAAATCAGTGACATGGTTACCCACCATTTTGGAGCAGAGAATACAGATTATCCATTTCTGCTTTAAATACACCCAAAACTTTCAGCAAGTTTTTAACTGGGAACAAAACATGGGCTTCAATCAGCAAGTTGCTTTAGCAAAGCTAAACACCTTCAACAACTCTGGAAACACCTGCCAGGAAATGAATCCAATCACCAAGAGGACTCTGGCAATTTTTTTTCTATGCTGGGGTTCCCTTACTCTTTGCCTGATTTCTAATTTCCTTCATCCTTGTCTTGATGTGATGAATGAATTCTTGCATTTAGACATTTTTAGACATTTTATTAAGATTTATAGGCCGCCCTTTTCCCTGAGGGGACTCAGGGCGGCTTACAATCACAGGGAAGGGGGTGCAATACCAAAAGACAAACAATATGTCTAAAAATGTCTAAATGNGCTCAACCTCTGGGACCCTGAATTTACATTTGGTTTTCTTTAGACGGAGCTTAGTCATGAGTTCCTCCCTATTATCATCGGTGACCAGCACGTCATCAAAATAGGTAATCCATGGAGCAATCGCTCCATGATACTCTGAAAAATTCCCGGGACTACGCCCCCCCCCCAGTGAGTAACAATTGTTGTGCGTCTGCTGTTGCATTGTCGATAGGCAATTGTTGATAAGCCTGAGCGAGATCAACCTTGGCAAAAATCCAGCCCCGGCCAAAAGAGTGCAATAGATGCTGCACTACTGGGACCGGGTACGGATTTGATTGGAGCGCCCTATTTATTGTTCTCTTGTAATCTGCGCAGATCCTAATGGATCTCTCCGATTTAATAGGATTACAATAGGAGTCTCCCACTTGGCGTAGTCAACTGGCTCCAGCACCCCTTGGGTCAACAGCTTATCAATTTCTGCATCGACCTTGGGTCTTAGAGTGAATGGCACCCTGAAAGCCTTTAATGTAATCAGTGCTACTTGTGGATCTAAATTAAAAGATATGGGCGACCCAGTATATTTACCTAACTTGTCACTAAAAACATTGTGGAATTCCCAGGCCAGGTCATCCCAGTCAGAGCTTGAAGACACCGAATGGACTCCTGAGATAGATAGCCCCAGGGAGGCAAACCAATCCTGTCCCAACAAGATGGCCAATGGGTCAACTACTACAATAAGAGGCAGGGGGTCCCTAAAATTGGTGTGTTGTACCTGAAATTCCTCCTTGCCTAATATTGGGATGGAGTGGCCCTGATAATCCCTCAACTTGCAATTGTATGGGCTAAACCGGCATCTGGAGACAGCTGGCAGCAGTCTTTTGAGGGTACTCCAGGAAATAATAGACCGAGCGGAGCCCGTGTCAATCTCCATTGCACATGGAGCTCCTTCCAGCAGTACCATTAGGTACATTTTCTGCTGGGTTTGGCTCACCACAGTGGCAGTGTTGACTACCCAAGAAGCCTCCACTGAGTCCTCCTCCAAGGAGTGGCAACCATCTTGAGCCCTATTCAGGCATCCAGTGGTGGCAGGAATGACCGTGCGACCCCCGAGTGAGTCATGAGAAGGCAGCACAGCTCGGCACACAGAGACTAGATGGCCAATCTTCCCGCAGCAGCGGCAGGTGGCGCACTTGAACTTGCAGCTGGAGCAGATTGCCGCCACAGCTGAGGCATCTGGTCTGAGACAATTTGGCAGACATTCGAGACCTGGAGGTAGCCAACACTCTCAGGTGGTCAATATCATCAGTCAGCTCACCCAGTTCATCTAGGTCAAAAGCTTGCTGGTTGACCATAGTGGCCATAGGCAGGGTACTCTTAGCAACATGGTACCTTTGGATTTCAGCAGCAGAGCTAGCTGCCTGTTCCGCCACCCACACCTCATCTACAGCTATCTGTAATGTCAACTTGGAGCAGGCTAGCAGCCTGCATTGTAATCTGGGATCATTGGTCCCCCAAATCAGTTGTTCTAGAGAGCCTCATCCAGGTTCTGGAACTCACAATGAACGGCTGTATTCCTGAAGCAAGCCAAGTGCTGAATGAGCATTTCCCCATCTTTTTGAGCGCATTGGCAAAATGCATATTGCCTCGCAAAACGAGATGGAGCAGGGGCATAATGCCCCTTCAGCTTGCCGATTAATACCTCCCATGGCAAGGAGTGGACAGCTTCAGGGGCTGCCAGGGCATGGGCACTGGAAAACATATCTGTCCCGCAGGAACTTAAAAAATAGCCCACTTTGGGATGATTAGAAAGCTCTGCAAAATCGTGAGCCAACATAAAACAGTCAAAACGCTTCATAAATATGTCCCAGGACTCCCTCTCAGGGGACAACAAGGAGAACGCATTGTTGCCATAATAATTATCTGCCTCTGTCAGAAAAAAAGGTTCTTACTATTTAAAAATGTCCTCTACCTCGTCGCCAGTGCTCAGGCCTGAGCCCTGAGGAAAACGCGGAGGAGAGCTGCTAATCAACTGTTTATTTCAACTAGAACAAGTAACAAAAGAACACAAACTGTTGGCTGACAGCTTTTTTATACCTTGAGCAGCCTATTAACCAATGGTGTGCCTCGGATTCTCCCTCCAGGCCAGCAGCGCGCCTTAGCCAATGAGGAGGCTTCCTGATTGATAGGCCTCGGGTGGCATGGGCTTTGTGTTTTTAAAAGGATTTGGATTCCCTGCTTATGTGAATGCAACCAAANGTAAGGTGTAAAGTGTATAAAACACTTTATATATAGTCAATATAGGCACAGAGTTAATTTTTTTAAACATTTTCTAATGGTGGTGTGCCTCGTGAATTTTTTCATGAAAAAAGTGTGCCTTTGCACAAAAAAGGTTGAAAAACAATGACCTAGTGGGACTTAGTATATACTCAGGACACTCTGTCATGCGACTTGGCTGGCATTCTGTAAGGCCTTAAAGACCTACGAAATTTGGGCTAAGATGTTGGATGACCCTGCATAGTAATATTTGCAGTTGTCTAAATGTTCCGAGTCTTTGACTCAGACCTCAAAACCAGAGTAATGTACTGGTTGCTGTTATAGTTATGTATCTGTGTTATTGCTAGTGCATTTGTTGTTGCACAGATTCACATACGAAATGTGTGCTTTTAAAATAATAAATAAAGCTTATGAGAGTGAGAAAAGTGAGTAATTGACTTGAAACCTACCTCAAAAGTTACTGCTTAAAAGCATGGACAGATGGTCCCATTGGAAATTGTTTTGTGTGACAGTTCTTTCCCAATATAAAGCTAAATCTGTCGTCTGTGATTCCACAATATTGAAGAGACAATTTAGTGCATTTGCTCCTCGTTTAAGCAGCAGTATATTAGAAATTACAATAGAACCGAATTATAATAGAATCAAAGAAAGGTGGAGAGGTACCCTGAATGAATCCACTTCGCAAGGGCAGGAACTGTGTAGGCAGAAAGCAACCTGATCTAAACTTTTTAACAGTGGATGGCAGAGTTGTGCCGTCGCTGAATAATCTGTATCATTTCAGGTTACCGAAGTGAAGAATGATTCATGGCAGAGAAATAAACCCTGAATAAAAGGTGTAGATTAATTACTCTGCCCCACTCAGAATCTAAGGACGCTTTAGTCATGGAGCTGAACATCCCGTCCGTTAATTCACGTGAATCTCGAGCTCCCACTCACTGAGTGGGCGGCTGCTTCGGGCCAATGCAAAGCCGGCCCGCCAGAGGGCAAGCGCGGACACGGCCCGCCCACGAGCCTGCCGGCATCTCTCTCGCTCTCTTTCTCTCTCTCTCTCTCCCCTGCTGTTGCGGAGCCCACGCAGGGCAGGCGCTTGCACAGCGTCGCTCGAGGCACTAGGTGGTGCTGCCCGCTCCGCGCCTCACCGTGCAGCATGGCGGCAGCGGCGGCGGTGGCGGCGGCGACGGGCGCCTCGCAGCCCCAGGCCGGGGCCACCGCCGCTGCTCCTACGGCGGCGGCAGAAGAGTCGTCGGACAGCGAGCCGGAGCAAGAATCCGGTTCGCCACAGAAGCTCATCCGCAAAGTCTCCACCTCCGGCCAGATCCGCCAGAAGGTGAGGGCTACGAGGGTCGGGCCTTGAGGGGAGCAGAGGCGACGGTTGCCTCTCCCCCCCTCCCGAGGCTTCCCACCCTCCATTTCATCCCCACTCTGCCTTTTCCAGGCGGAAAACGCGCGGGGCCTGCAACCTCCCAGCTCGGTTCTCACTTCCAGCCCCAACCGTGGGGTGGTATGCAAGGGGAAGACCTCCCTTCGGAGTCCCCCCCTTTCTCCCCCCCCCGCACATTCCCTCCAGGACCCCCAGGGCGGGCGAGGGGGGGGGGAGAGCCTGTGGGCTCCCTTCTCTCGTGGGAGCCTTGTCCTTCCAAGCCTCATCCTTTCCTCCCGTTCTCCGTAACGGATCGGAGCGCGGCCACAGGGTCACGCAGGCAGAGAAGGAGCCCAGGTGAGCCAGTGAAGGTGACAGCGGTGGGGCTGCGCCTTTGCCTAGCAAAGGAGCGCGGTGGAGTTGGCTTGCCCGGAGCAGATGCTTTGCTTCTCGGCATGGACGCTCAAGCGCTGGGGCTCGTCGCTGCATCGTGCACAAAGGCGAGAGGAGCCCCTGGCACCGCAGCCTCGATTCTCTTGGGGAGTTTGGGGGAATGTTGGACTTGAGACTGGGTAAAGATGGCCCGTCCCCGCTGGCAAGGTTTATACTTGCTTCGAACTCATATGTTGGGTTTTGGCTTAGCAAAGTACGTCTAGCCATCGTGGTTTGAGAGCCAGCATAGGAGTGTGTGGGTTTCTGTGGCATGTTAAAGCACTTAGTTTAAACTGTGACATCCTTCTAGATTGAAACCAAACTATTCTCACCTTCTCTATGGGAAACCAGGTTTTGGCATAAAGAATCCTCTCTTTAGCTTGCTCATCCTTGATCCTGTGAGCAAACTCCCCCTTTAGGCAGCATAGTGGTTGGGTGAACTCCCCAAAAGGATTACAGCTAAACCAAAGTTTCTACCAATGTTTCCTTTGGGTGATGTGATAGTTTGATCCGATGAGTGCTTTGAATGCTCTTTGAATGTGCCCAAACATTATTATCTGTTTAATAAGGATAAATTAAACTGAGTTCAGTAGGCTAACTTGTCATTACTGACTGGCTTCTATCTGGTTGCTTATTCAGTCCAAGCTTTTTTCAGAGAGTCTGTCTAAAATATTGAACAGTCAACTAGGTACATCCTGACCAGTAAAAAAAGATAAGCTCAGCTCAGCCATCGTGCCTCCCCCCACCCCATCATTTCTTCTGAATCATTCATATATATAGACTGAGCTTTTCACCTAGAAAGTTCAAAACCCGAGCACAGCACAATGGGGTTAGCTTCTGTTATTTGCCCCAGCTCCTGCACACCTAGCAATTTGAAAGCATGCAAATGCAAATAGATAATTAGGTATCATTTCAGGACCTTCGACACATTGGCCCCCTCAGCTAAGAAATTGAGATGAGCAATGCCTCCTGGAGTTGGACACAGCTGGACAGAGAAAGCCTTAATCTTTATCTTACATGGGGGTGATGACTAGGATAAAATAATTTATATTTACTCCCTGTCTAGGTGGCAGCAAATAGTAGCTCTTTTTTTTTTCAAAAGAAAAAAGAGAGTGAACCCAATCACTGATCTTTCCACTGTTTTAAGAGTTAAGAAACTTATACGAGTCTCCCTCAATGGGAGGCAATGTTGTATTTAGTTGCAGCATAAAGTGTTCTGAAGATTCTGCCTATGAACATTAATGACTGCCACTTCTCAATGGCCAACTTGTTAGGGGTACAAACTTGGTAACTGTCTGACATAATTGAGTTTTATTAGTCATACCTAATATACATACTGTTCACAAATGTACACTATGTAACTATTTTGGTTCAGAATGTCCAGAATTTAGAAAGTAGTATCACACAATCTTCCTGGATTTTTTGCCAGCATTTTTATAGCGCAACTGTAAAAAGGTAAGCTCCTTAGAAAGAGAGAGGAGTGTTATATTTTCTGGTTTGAATCCAGTACTTGAAGTTCTTATAAGTATGAATAAAACCATCACTGTTTTGGCAAAAGATCCATGATTATCTTAAATCTTAAATTAGATAAATTTAGCTGCCTTTCCCTACTAGGGAGAATTACAGCAATGAATTTCTGATTTCACACCAGCATTATATCTGGGTTCTTAAATCTAATCTGTTACAAGTGTCACATGTGGATAAGTCTTTTGGGGTAGGAACAAGAAATTAATACAAAAGAAATTAACTTTGAACAATTACATTTAAATCATCTGGCTTTCCAGTCATTGATAAATGCTACTTCTAGCAGATCCAGCTAGTCTAGTCCAGGGTGAGGAATATTAGGTGCTGCAATTGAGCATTATTAGACACAGGTTGCACACAAGTTGTCCTTCAGTTTCCAAAGAAGATACATTTATGTCCAGATCTCCTTCCACCGTCTTTGGAGTTTTGCTATTGAAGGCAATTGTTGAACGCACAATTTTTGAAGCCTTTTACTTCTTAGCAGGTATCCCAAGCAGCTCAGTTAAGTCTACTTCCTAAACTCCAACAGTGGTTTCAAAGATATTTTTCTAGGTCTTGCCTTGTAGGCACAACCTGTCCATCTGTCTGGTCTATCCTACCGGGGTCTTTTCACCTGAATAGACCCTCTGCTGCTTCCATGGATCCAGGCTAAGGGAAGGCTGCCTAGAAGCTGCCGTGAGTTTCTTCCTCTGAATTTTTTTTTTTCTTTGGTTGAGGAAGGGACTCCTTCACATGAAAACTTTTTCAGGTGTTTCAGAATATCTATTTCCTGATCATTGTTTCAATCTGCAACACAAATGGGCAGGGAAGCTGCACAGCTTGAATGCAGGAACAATGTAGTCCTTGTATGGGATCAAGTACATTGAACATATACTTGTTTCCAACAAAACAATTAATCCAAGTATACATGGTATAATATTTAATTGAGGACTGAGAAGGGTTATTCTAGGCTTCTCACTATCCAAATACATAAAATAGAGAAAATCAGGACTATTAGCTATAAAAAAAGTTTCTTTCAAATGAGGGCATGTGACAAATGAAACAGATGAATGAATGTTTATTTGTAATGCAATAGTCAAACCTATAGTAAACACAAAGTAACTTGATTAATTTGTCTGGCACATAATTCATAAAAAGTATAAAACATAACAGATATGGTAGAAGCTTCATAAAACATTTTCCAAGCCCATTATTTATCTTTTAATATTGGTGTGTAGTTTTTCTTTTCATTTGGGTGCCAATTTAGAGTCCCTGGCAGTGTATATCAAATGTATTGTAGTGTATTCCTAATTGCTTGTTTCATAGGAAACCATACATTTTGTACAGATGCATTATTATTTATATTTGTGAAAAAAAGTAATGATCAAGCCTTCAGTTATATAAAACTGAATGACAAATATTTGAAATGTTCCTCCTTAAATATTTTGATAATGTTTAAACAATACATTTAAACTGTGAAAAAGCAATTCTATTACAATTATGAAAAAAGGGTATATCAGTCTCATGAGTGCAATTTTAGGATGCAAGCATTACTGAGGGAGAACATTGTGGTATGGCAACTTCCTCACATGAGAATACTTTAAGTGGAATAAGTTTTAATTTTAACATTGATGAATACCATATTTTTGAGAGAGTTCAAATAAGGCAGAAACCAACTATGAATCACTACTATGTTTTGCATCATTTCCTACGTCAATATAGCTGTAACAGAACTCAAACACTTTGCTTGTGGTATGTGAATATAAACATTTTAAGTACAAGGAGTATAAACAGAAATTATGTACAGCCATTAAGCTTCCATTGCTTTAATCTGCTTGAAAATCTTTAGCTAAACTAAGTATCATTTCCAAGGCAACTCAAGATTTCAGAACAATCAATCAAAATGCTTTGTGACTTTTAATCCAACCCTTATTGCTCCTGCTTTCCTTACATTCATCCAATGAAAAGTGAGAGATAGCGTGATTGGAACATATGTTATAGGACTGTAAATCCTTTGAAAAAAGTGCTTCAAAATACACAATAATATATACTAAACATAGAAAGTAACAACATATTTTCCCACAATCACATGATTGTCTGGAAGCTGTTCCCAGTTGTTTTGGCATGCATGTTCCAGGCACAGCCATTGTCCTTACTATCTGCAGTGTAACTTCCATGCATTATGATGCATCTCTTTTGAAGGGCTTGTAGAAAATGTGCATGTTATATGACTCAGCATAATAGAGAAGGACTTCAGTTGTAATAACAAAGTTTCTAATACTGTTAAAACATTTATTTAAATGGAAGTAGAATAAAGCAAACATTTTAAAAGCATTTTCTTCCTTACCTATCAGTTCCTTTTTACATAATTACAATTTTTGCATAATGTTTGTGGAAGATTACAATAATTATTGGCAAAACATTCATTTTTATCACAGAGATACTCCTGAACAGTGACAAGCCAGTATTGAGTAAATTTGCACAAGTATTTGTAGATTAAAGTGTTGCTTGTTCATTTTTATGGAGTAGAGATGGGAAGTACGTGCATGGAAATGAAGTGCATTTTTAAATATGAATGCAAGAACTAAAATATAAATAGGTATGAATTGATATCAATTTAGATTTTTATGTGTATGTACAAAACTAGACATCTATAGTTAGTGATAGTTGCATATTGGTGATAAAAGTGATAAAGGAAAAAAAGCTGGACTTTCTCAACGAATGCAGTCCAGGACAAAAACAATCTGTTAAGCAATATGAATGGATGAGTAGGAGTGAGATGCAAGCATACAAAATAAGGATCTGGTCATTTGAAGACCTAAGAATGAATAAGAATTATCACAAGTATTTACTTAGAAAAAGATCTTGTTTATTCAATGTACATGGTGTGAACATAAATCTATTTGAACATATAAACTGCAAAGAAACATGTTTAAGGTGTGGTTGCTTTGATTTATTTATGATGAAAGACTGAATGAGTGAAGGTTACAAGAGTAATGAACGGTTATGAATGTAACACCAATCATTTGTGA